ACTCTATAAGTTTGCTTAACACTGTRGCATCAGATATACACCAATTTGCAAAATCTCACAACATGAGACTGAATCCAGCTAAGTGTAAAGAAATGCGTATCAATTTCTTGCATAATAATAACTGTCTTATTAACTCCATTATACTAGGTGCGGATGTTATTGAATGTGTAAACACCTATAAAATCCTTGGTGTCATTATRGACAAAGATCTTAAATGGAACAGCCACGTCGAACACATTACCAAGAAGGCTTGTAAGAAATTGTATGCGCTCAGAGTTCTACGTAGAGCCGGAGTTAGCCAAGCTAACATACTAAAGATCTACTTAAGCACAGTGCGGCCTGTCTTAGAGTACGCTGTCCCAGTGTGGCAGGCTTTTCCAGACTACCTCTCCGTAACTATAGAGCAGATACAAAGAAGAGCGCTTTACATTATCTACCCTGAGGCCGAATCTTATACACACGCCCTACAACTGGCTCAATTAGATCGACTGGAAATTAGAAGAGACTATTTATGCACTAAGTATATGAATCAAATGAAGTCTACACAACATACTATACATCATCTTCTACCCAGACCTGCACCAGCATCAAAATATAATCTAAGGAGGAACTCGCCTAAGTTTTATCTGTACAATTCTGTGTCGCAATGCAGAACCAAGAGATCGACGAACTTTTTTACATTCCGATACTTTAATTAATCATATAAATTATATAGTTTGAATAATTTGTAAATAGCAATTTTATCATTTATACTAGAATTTGTAACAATTACTTGTTAATTCAGTTCCCTGAACAGCAAGAGAGTACTAATAAACTATTATTATTAATTAACTATTGGGTTGGCTGTGTTATTACATGACCGGAAGCTCAAGCGTATTGATGTACGAATATCGTTAGTAAATGTTATATGCTACTTGGCTTTTATATGACAAAAAAACTATTCGTTTACAAATGTGGTATCTGTGATCTCATCGGAATGCGTCTGTCTAGGCATTAGAAGTACGCGCATGTGCAGATCGCATAGAGTTTCGAGTTGTATGCTTACAAAACTGAATCAATATCCTTTCTAGTGTTAGACAGTCTTGTGGGGGCAAAGATTTCAAATTAGAACAACAGAAAGGCGAATTCAATGATTTTATAGGCATCTTTTTCCTTGTAAAGTTTTTATTTTCTTTGCCTGAGAGGTCAACGTGTTAGAAATCATGATATCACTTAGCGAGACATTTGTCTAGCGTAGTTGATTTTATCAGTGAAAGCAAGCCGCGTTCTTATCGCGTTAACTACATGACCTTTTAGGTCAAGTTTATTTAAAGTCTCAATAAATTTTGCATATTTTGAACTAGACGCTCTTATTAGACCGTGAGTTCGGCTGTTTTGGAAAAAAAAAAGTTAAGAAATATTTTTATCCATGTAATATCCTGTCTTTCTCAATTTTCGCAAGCAGCTAGTCCGACTTCACGCTCCCAGAGCGTCTAGTTGTTGATAATGTTATGTCCATCTTTTTAATTTTGACATCTTAGTTTATGGTGAATTGTATTTTAATTGAGACACGTAGAACATCTTTTTGTGGTCCCTACCAAAATAGGCGCGCAGTAATGTGACGTCATTGCCTGTTCGTAGGCCGAAACTAATGATCCAAGCTAACCTACGCACAGTGTTCTATGAATAGTGACGGAATCATTGAACCAAATCAAATGATACAAATCGCTGCTAGTAATAGAACAATGTTTCTATCTTTAGATACCAACACCATGGGTATATTTTATCAATGGGTCACTAAAGAAATTTTAATTTTAAAAAAGCGAGCTGTAGGGGAGTTACCCTGGTTCCAGGCACTTCTTTGTATATCTGCCTAGCGGCGACGAATAAGAATAAGATACACTTCTTTGTATATCTGCCTAGCGGCGACGAATAAGAAGAAGATAATAATAAGCAGAGAAGAGAGAGAAACAGAGAGCCAGCTAGGGTATAATAGGACATTCGTGGAATTGATAGACGATACTATTGATAGTTTCAATAATGTTTTCTATAGATAGATTTATATGTGATTTATTATATAGATTTATTGTGTTCAGGGCTCCTATTCATAACTGATGCGCATTCAACTGATGGACCACCCTGAGCTTTATTACTCGGGCTTCCAAAGGAACTCCGAGTTTAAATTTCGAACTTCTTCGTCCCTCTTATCAGTCACAAATTGTCCACAGGTAGCCCAAGCTCAGCTACTGTCGGCTAGACTGTAACGCGTGATGGAAGAAGACATAAATTCAACGTCTACAAATACGCTCAAATCACTTAAAAATCCACACTTTCGTCGTATAGCTACACTAAAATATGCCGAACGTTCTTTCGAAATGGCATTTAAGGAGAGATACCGCGAATTTATCAACAAAACTTTTATATTGTTTAAAATGTATCTTATACTGTCTATCAATCTAGTCGATCGAGTCTATAGACAAGCTACCTATCTTAGCAGAAGCGAACTATATACGAACTTATGCAGGCTCTGAAACTACAAAGGACTCATYTAAGAAATGCGAACAGAGTTCTAGTGAGGAAAAACCGACGATTGGAAGTATTTTATAAAGTCGAGAAGATAAAAGACTCTGTGTTTACAGCCTGCCATTTGACAATGACTGTCAAAGTGAGAACGGCTTGCTGACTATTTTTTAATAATATTAATGCTGAGTACACTGTTTTTTCATTATTTTTATTCCGGGAAGTATTTTTTGCTTTACCCTTTTGATAGTATTAATATCAACTTTATTAAGGCAGTCCTATTCGTGTCGCAAATCGTTGCACKTGGTTTTCTTGAGAAGTTTTCCACTTCAATAATAAGTATTTGGCCAAAAAGCACAGAATCTGACACCGCTGATTTTTCAGTTTTCAATTAAAGTTCTAGTTAATTTTAAAAGTTACCCCCCCTCCCCCCCCCCCCCCCCCACACACACACACACAAAATTATATTTCTTTCCCCCCCTGGACTCTTAACCCCCCTCCTGATAAATATTGCGCAGTCCCTTATCAAACGTTAAAATGAAACTATTAGGCAATTTCCGTTATATTTTTGTTTGTGTCAACGGTTTTTTCGAACAGTTTTTTACAAATGAAATTTAATATATTTGTCTGTCAAATAAATARAATTCTGAAAAGAGGAATCAGCGTCAGCTAAATTTGATTAAATTAAAAGCAAAGTTTTGAGTGTTTTACCTKTCTCTACATATTAATTGCTAACTTATGAATTTGGTTTGAATGGTTAATCTTTCTTTCGCCGATTACTAATCGTCCAATCTTCCAAGCTGACGAAAACTCACAGTTTAGCTCATCAATTATTTTAATAATGACTTTTAGAGGTCAATTTTTGATGCGAGTCCCACTTTGTCTACTGCGAAAAAGAGATTGAAATTTATCACCTGGAAATGTTTATTTAACACTTCTGCAGACCACAAGATATTGGATTGTGTGACATCGCTTAAACAGGCTGAAATGTAGCTATAAGCGGCCAGTTTGACGTCATCCATGACGTAGTACCCTACAAATATACGTGATGTCGACWAACGGAAAAGGTATCGTATTTATAAGGACAGTACTACTGAGTTATCCTAAGACTATATACATTTACTTTGTCTGACCTCGTACGTTTTGRATTATCCAAACAGAGGCGAATTGCAATAAGTACATATTAAAGGTGACTCTGTACCTACACTGATACCTTTGACTGCAGTTTCAGTTTGTATAAAGTCCCGTTTATACTTGCGATTTTTGCAGTGCGATTGTTGCCCAACAATCGCTACTTTGTTCTCGCGCATCTCAAATCGTAAATGTAAACAGCCCTGCGATGGTCGCGGCGACCGAAAATCGCCGCGAGTTGCAGCTAAATTTCAAGCATCTTCGAAAGTCAGGCGATTGTCGCGCGACAATCGCTCTGCAAAAATTGCAAGTGTAAACGGGCCTTAAGAATACTTTATGAGTAATTTTCATTTTATAAAAAAACGGCTACGAGATCGTGGTGCACTAACACATGGTCTTAGCGCGATCACACAGCATGAAACATAACAAAAACATTTTCACAAAAGGAAWTTCACTTCAGTCGAATATGAACACTAAATATTAACATTGACCCAATTTCCGTATCTTTTATTAACAGAATCAATGATCTGTGCAAAACGTTGCCGTTATGCTTTATATTGACGTCATTTCATTGTATTCCACATCCGTTTGGTTGTCAAGGTAACACTATAGGTAGTCGCGATAAACGATAGGAGCAATGGAGTAAGAAACAGAGTGAAACAAGCATCGACCTCGTGGCTTTATCAACGACCGCGCTCAAAATAGGTAAGTCAGCCACGTCACTAACTAAAAATCCACCAAAATACTATCCTATTACAGGAAAAATTGCTTAACTCAAAGAAAAAACACCGATTGATGTGTTCTGTTTTTATCTTTTAATAGAATACTGGCCAGATACTATAAAAAACAAAGATTATAATTCGATTTTATKAGCCAAGAAAATAAATTGAACAAAAAATATTTCCAGCAATCTAATTACGACCCTGCTTTTATCTTATTTGCAAGGTTTTGATGTCTCGAAAAATAATACTATTTGTTAAATGTACTAATTTATGCAAACAGAAGAAGTTGTTTTCGAAGTATAAAGTAAAAGAGAAACTTGTTAAAGCATGTTAACATTATCAATATTCRTAAGTCAGGAAGTGCGTAGTAAAGATGCGCACAAGATAATCGTTCGACTTCCTGTTAAAGMGTTACAGTTTGTTTGGCTTTTAGGCGATTGCTTAACTTTCCTAATATGTTTTGACACGAAATGGCAGCTTTTGCATTGTATGTCACTAAGTAGTAATTTGTACAGCCCGTCGTAATGTATGTCATTATTTTTCGTTTTTAAGTTATCCAAGTTAGAATTTTTTGACTGTTTGCATAATKAATTCGTGTGTGAATTSGATTTTATATGTGTAGAATGCTATCATATGCWCAAGAAACATGCAATCGATCAAAGCACGTGAGGAAATACACGATTGCAGTTCATTTCCGATGTCACGCGTATTGTGTGACACTTCACGCTGTGCTGACGTCAATTTTCAATTCTGCGAAGTTACGGATATTCGTTGAGGATTAAATTTCAGCGAATTTAAGTCACCGCGGTTCTCACGTGCATACAGTCATCGTTCCACASAGTTTACTTGGCCAAAGTGGTCAAATTTATATTGCAATTTTGTTGGGGGTGTTTATTTCAGTGAGTTGGTTGAGTTTTAGGTAGGTGTTGTAGCCATGTGTAGACCCCACTTACATGTAGTACTTTGACGTGTAAGTATGTGGGCGAACATCACCGGTCATCCATTCAATCTCTTTCTATCCCTTTAATATGGCAGATATAGCTACAAAGTGATGGTAAAGCCGTCTAGTGGCATCGAAAGTCCAGTTGATATGGCTTTTAATGATATTTTTGAAGGTAAGTGATAAATTCACCTTGTCGAGAAACTTTTCAAACAACTTTTCTTAACTTTTGTATTTACCGTCACCAMTTTGATCACTTTCGTAAAAAATGTCTGCTTATTCAATGCTTCACTGATCTTGCTTGACKAGATACTTCATAGTTAGTAAGAGAGACTGCGTAGGGGGGTGGGGTGCTATTCAGAAGTTGTTATTGCGAAGGATGACGATGCAATACTATTGATATTAATCTAGGGTAATTTTAGACAAGTATTTACCAAATATATCCATGTATGATGTAAGCAAATCAAATTGACGTCATTTAGTGTGGAAATGAGCCAATCAGAGTTCAATGAAGGGCAATGTCCTTAAGCAATCAAATGGCGTGACACACGCGAGATATTCAATTACAAGTCATTGTGGTTTCTATTCTCGATAGTTATTCAAGAAATGGAGACGCCAAGCKCTGCTCAAATCGTCCCAGGTATTGCTTTAGATCCYAACCACCTATATATTGAATAMTCRCTGAGATATTTATTGTCTTTATAACAACAAAAGTACGATTTAATTTTAGAGGTCAGTAATTTTTTATCTCACATATTCAACTTCTAAATTAACACTTTTTAATTTGAGGGCGATCAGCCACGTATGTTTTTATTCACCTGCCACAGTAGCCTTKTAAAACTACAAAAAATATTTCACTGAATTGCAAGAGATTTCATGAACATTATATTTAAATTTGCGTCTAATTTCACTTTTACGTCAGTAAGCATATTAACAAGGTAAAGTTTAAATGGATTAAGGAAATGAATGTTTAAGTAAAGTAAAGTAAAGTAAAGTAAATGGTTTTATTTGAATTAGGCCGTGATACAGACACTCCTGATATTTACAAGTCAAGCAATAAACTAGGTGAAGGTGAGTGCATTACTTATTCCGTCTACAGACTGAGTACAATATCGATAGTCACATGTAAAAACAAGAACGACACCGACAAATAAAAACTAAGGAAATAATGAACTTAAAATTCAAATAAAAATACTGGAAAAAAAGAAAAAGAAAGAAATTAAGAGTGGGAGACCGCTATAGAGAATAAAAATCAAGAGAAGGTAAAAATAAAGAACCAAATAGATACTGTAATTAAAGAAAGATTAAGCAAGTCGGTCAGTCATTCATCAGTGTGCAAGATATCTGACAATATCTAAAAAAGGAACGAACAACATTTTTGTTGGAAGATAAAAGACTGAATTACAAAACTTACACAACACAAAACAAAGACAACAAGCAGAAAATTGTTTTGTACTGTTTGTTGATATCTTTCAATATCTTATCTCAAATCTACGACAGCGATGTAAGCGTTTTGTACTGTTTGTTGATATCTTTCAATATCTTACTTCTCATAGCTCAAATCTACGACAGCGATGTAAGCGTTCTAGTAGGGATCAAAGCTGAGCCAAATGACGTCAAGGTACCTTGTATGCATCCCAGCCAGTTTTCCGAGTGGGTTAATATGAGTATTCATGCTGATAAAGCACGCAATACCGACCAGTTGTTTCAACCAGACTTCTCTGCCATCAAGTATATCGAAGATACGGAATGGGGAGAAAGGCTTATAAATGAAACAAAAAACTTGTTCCAGTTCCCAAGTAGTGTAACTCCAAGAGATATCACTCCTGACAAACCAGATACTCACCGAAACTACACCTCTTTCCAGCTAAACGCTGAGCCTTACCTCTCGCCAGAATTCGAGCATTCAAGCTGGTACGAGCAGCCSTTCATGGAGGACGATCTCTTTTTGGCCGCTAGGTTTGAACCMACCGAAGACCTGCAGGATGATTCATATTTCTCAGAGAACAGCAGTGATAGCGAGTCAACAAAGAAAGATGACATTGATGAAAGAATCAGCGAACAAGCGCCAAGTCCATGGGTGAATTCGTTTACAATACATTCATCTCACAACAAAGACCCTGTCCGCACCCGCCCCGACACAAAAAAGCAAACTGTCAAGAGGTACCAAAAGTCTTTCAAGTCTTCAGGAAGACCAAGGCTTTGTCAGTTTTTACTGGAATTACTAAACGACCCGGAAAAGTATTCCAATCTGATTGAATGGCTGGATAAAGACAAAGGTGTCTTCAAGTTTCTAAATTCAACACGTGTGGCTCAAGAGTGGGGTAMACGAAGAAACAAACCTAAAATGAAGTATGAGAACTTTGCTCGCTCCCTTCGTACTTACATTGCCAAGGGGATTCTCACTAAACCTCGCAGCAAGCTGGTCTATAGGTTTTCATCTTTATAAACATCGTCAAAGATTTAAGGCTCTCGTGTGCGGACTCAATCCTARCAGAAGTACTACATCATCATCCGGAACTARTTTGAAGAACCTATGGCTTGTCTACCGAACATATACGATCGCCGCAGTGAAATCACAGCCAAAAGACAATCAGGAATGAACGGAACATTGACGACAATTATCACGTAATTCGATTTTTGATAGTAAAACTCTTTGGTACTTCGTTTAAGTTCAAGTGATGTGCTATTTTCAGTTCGTTTCTTCATAGCAGGGGAAACGTCTTCGTTTTTCAKTTTTTTCGTATGTGTCTGTGGTTATCACATTCTCAGTTTTATTGATTTTTGTTTATTGTAAAACCTTGTAGAGTTATGCCATATAAAACATTCAAGAGGAGTTTAAGCATGCAGTCGCCGACATGGCAGCTGTTCTGACAGCGCATCACTTTCGCTTTTTTGAAAAAACAATTGACTTAAGAACATTTTCCGTAATTAATGGCATAAATGACACGTAGTGTAGAAATATTCTCTGAGTAGATTTTCTTATAAGTAAACTCTATTAATATCGAGTGCAAGAAGAACTAGTTATGGTGAAACTCAATCAATGCTTTGCTTGTCGATGCAAAGCTCAGTAATTTACTATGTAAAAAGTTGTTACCGTATTCTGACCATGTCAGAGCAGTAAAAAAACATAGACAGTGTGTGTTATTTAGTAAGTGAAGATCGTTATTAAAAAGTTATATAAGCATAATTTGTGAAAGTGCTTTCTTGTCCTAGAACTGAAAGACTGAGGAATTAGAGCAATGACCAAGCTGACCCAGTGAGGGGAGGGRTAGGGGAACGTCACGAGACTGTAATTAAGGGTAATTACAAACGTTAAAGCAGGAAGTCGAAAGTATTCTTAAGCACTGCCTTTCGACTTCCTCTATCCGAATAACGTGTATTCAATTGATATTTAGAAATCAAGGAGTTTCTGCACACGACAGACCAATTTGTATTCTAGGCTCAGTGAACGGTTTTTTTCAGTACTGAGTCATGAAATAAAAGTTTTTTTAATTATCATTTTTGCTTTGAATTTTAACTGCTGCTGTAATTTAGGCAATGTATCGAACAAGAACCAAGCACATGTCGACATTGATTTACGGGATAGGAAACGATGACAACTAAAATCTGCATTCTGTACAGCTAGTACTCGAATATATATAGCCGATCCCAAAAAGGCATCTCGTACCCTGGGAACCAGAGGCTGGATTTACTCGTTCGTTTAGTTTATAGACGGTTCGGCCTTCGGCCTCCAACACTGCACGTGTATATAAACTACAAGAACGAGTAAATCCAGCCTCTGGTTCCCTGGGTAGGCATCTCCTGGAGCACAGCAGGCAAAATACTACAATAATAATGTGCATTCATGTTATAGATACTTTCGAAAGTATGACGAGCTTTTTCATGCTGGATGGCAGCGCACGTGGAGCTGTCTTTACTTGCAGAAGGTCAAGTCTTTACTGGTGTAATATATGACACAATGAMGCGTTCATACAGCAGTTTTCAGACAATGTTAAAAACCTGTCCTTTTTAATGATTCCTTTATTCGGTATTGACTAAGTATCTGCAAATGAAAAAATGAAAAAGTTTCCTCAATAAAGATTATTATTATTTATTTATTTAAATTAGCAGACTTGTCAGAATGTTTTGGGATCGCACCATTTTCGAAATTTTATTAAATTATTGGAAGAGTGTAAACACAAATACCGCAAGTAMTTAAAGAAGTTTATATTTGACAATAGAAAACAAAGCTATTCACATAATTCAGTAAAATCACTACTAATTCCTATTTTTTCATGGTTTTATTGTTTGCGCTCTACATGGTTCTCACAAAGTTTTCCATATACTTATAATGTTTGAGATATTATTAATACCGCTTCAATGATTAACGGATGTATAGCTATTCTAGCTATCTTGTTCCTGTTGTTACATACCACDCCCAGAAATGAACTGAAAATAGAACAACAACTCAGCGATCCGCGGCGAGGTGAAAAGATTCATGAGAACGACCTCGCATTAATCCAAGGCAGCTTTGATGATTTCACTATTATCTCCAGCCATWACGGGCTGAAGGAAGGCTGTCAGAAGGTCCTTTGCTTGTCTTACCGAACAGTCAAGTAATATCAACCAGCTGAGACTGAGACACCATTGATCAGTCGTTTCATTATTACAAACCTGCCTACCTAGCAAAGGTCTTTTTTTAGTCCAGCTTAAAAGACACCCACGTCATCCTATACATTTCTATTAAGRAGCTTGTGTCTTCTGGTTTCCGATGTATAGTATTATTGATATGGGGGGTTTAGGCCCAGGGGGTATATTTTCTATAGACTAGTTCAACCATGAAATAAAAATATGTTTACGGTAAAAAACAGAATTGTTTACCAATTTATTATCAGCATTTTTCAGCATTTTTTAGACAACATACTTTAAAACCGTTATGAAAAATACGCTCTTAGATCGCTTACTCGCGTCTTATTTTCAAAAGTAATTGCATGAAACTTCAAGTCCGAGAGTCCACTACSTTACCACTACTGTCACGCAACGATAGCTTAAGGATATTATTATTTAGTCCGGATGGTAAATAGATGGTTTATCATGTCTTAATTT